ATAGATATTATGCCAATGCGGCACAGGTCGTCACATTGGCTAACAACATGACTTTCATCACGGGGGCCCTGGATAGGTCGCTCTCCTCTGGCCAGGCGCTCAGTGGAGACCTCCTGTCACAGGCGAGGACCACCTCGGCGGCGTTCCTGCGCATGTGCCAGACGCTAGCCGTGGATGGTGGCCAGGACACAGAGGATTCAGTCCGCATGGCCCTGCAGCCCTCCGCATCCGTGTGGCCCGGCACCAGACCTCTCCTTCCCTCCGAGCGAGACAGGATGTCTTGGCGATGCCGGATAGATGTTATGCCATTGCAGCACAGGTCCTCGCATTGACTAACTACATGGCATTTATCACGGGGGCCCTGGATATGTTGCTCTCTTCTGACCAGGCGCTCAGTGGAGACCTCCTGTCACAGGCGAGGACCACCTCGGCGGCGACTCTGCGCATGTGCCAGACGCTAGCTGTGGATGGTGGCCGCTCCATGGCAGCAGCCCAAGTCGGGCCAGGCACCTTTGGCTTGGGCTGGCTAATATCAGGGAGGCGGAGAGGAGGCAGCTGCTGGACCTGCCCACCTCTCAGATGTCCCTCTTCGGCCCGGACATGCAGGCCTGGGTGGCGAGACTGGAGTCTGCAGCTAAAGACTCGGCTAGGCTAGCCCCGCACCTAGCACCGAGGCGCGAGGCCCACCAACCATCACGGAGCCGGGACAGAGGCAGAGAGCGTTGGCCCGGGAGGCATCCTGACCCGTATCCGCGCTCTGTTATCCATCGTCCCCCCTTGACGAGGCCCCGGGTCCAGACAGACCCATGGGTGGCTCGCGGGAGCAACGCACCCACCACCGACCTCCCTATGGTAGAGGAGGCCGGGGTGGAAAAATGTTTCCTTCAATAAAGGCCGACCGGCATTTCCATTACCTTTCTGAGTCTGATTTGGGGGTATGTAACATGTCAAATATTGTGAATTCTGATTGTGTTACTTCCCGGGCACATAACGTTGCTTCGCTAGGCCTGCAGCCCCAGAGAGGGGCGTGCAGTGCACTACGAGCTCCGGTTTCTCTGATCCATACTATGCCCTCCCAGAGAGAGGTCAGGCGGAGGGATCTGGTGAGTGATATGTGTGTGCTTCGGCCGAACGCGTGTTAGCATCTCTGAGCCACAGGGCTAACACGGGGTTTCCCACTCCAGGGGCTCGCCCCCCCCTCCATGAGGCAAGAGCCAGGGGGGGGCACAGCAGCCGAGTCACGTGGGATGAGCAGTCCCGTACTTATGACGTCGGGCCTGCAGGACACGTGACCGCCCCCGGCGCTCACGGTGTGACGCAGGGTGCCCCCCCGGCCCTTTCGTCCACCCCCCCTCCCTGCTAGGAACACCAGGAGAGGGAGGGGCCGTGACGTCTCGTGTTCCAGCTCCCGTTCCACTCCTCACAGACGTCTACAGCATCTGGAGGGAGCAAAGATGGCTGACATATCTATGGCTGGAGAGAACATTGCGCAGGGGTTGCGCACTGCAATTCTCCCAGAAGCCACCACCATTCCGAGGCGTACGGGCAGCACGCTCTCAGGTACGGGGTCATTAGAGGCACTGCAAGCGGAGGTCTCCTCTCTGCTGAGTCTAGGCGCAGCAGTAGAGGTAGACCCGCAGGAGGCCACCAGGGGGCTGTACTCCCCTTACTTCTTAGTGCCAAAGAAGTCAGGCGGGGTGCGTCCCATTTTGGATCTGCGCGTGTTGAACGAGTGCATTTCCAAACGGCAGTTTCGGATGCTGCCCACAAAGCAGCTCCTCGAGTGTGTCAGGCAGGGAGATTGGATATCCTCCATAGACCTGACAGATGCGTACTTCCACGTGCCGATAGTACCGGAACACAGGAGGTTCTGCGCTTCGCAGTGGGAGAGAGGAATTACGAGTACTGTCGTTTTCCCCTTGGGCTACGCACTCGCGCCGTGGAGCAGGGGTAAGAATTGAATCTACATAGACGTCGGGTTAATTCTGGCCTCATCCAGGGAAGTGGCCGTGAGTCATACGCACTGGGTCCTGTCCCACATACAGCGCCTGGGCTTTGTGGTTAACAGAGAGAAAATTAACAGTTACCTTTGTAACTTAAGTTCTACGAATAGGTGCACGTGATATCCCACTAGCGAAGTCCGCTAGGGGACGTAGCACCATGACGTAGAAGCAGGCTGCAACTGGCTCAGCGCATGATCTATCTCGGTCTGCAGCTAGACTCTGTGACATTCCGTGCTGCATGGTCCGTGGACAGACGGATGAACACTACCCGTCTGCCCGGGGAGGTTCTGGCGGGCCCCAGAGTCCCCGCTCGGCGCCTCAGGTCCCTGCTGGGAATGATGGCGGCGGCTCATGCTGTGGTGCGGCTAGGCCTTCTCCACATGAGGAATTTTCAGAGGTGGTTCTCACGCCTCAGGCTTCACCCCTCCCGGGACGGGGGGAGGCTGATCTGGGTTCCCCAAGTGGCAGCATCGAACATCAGGTTCTGGCTCACTCCGGGTCGGAGTGACTCTGGCCGGCGCCGTGTCTCACGTGGAGATGTTCACGGACGCGTCGCTCGAAGGATGGGGCGGGGTCCTCGGCCAGAGTTCTGTAGGAGGCTGCTGGTCGGACTCAGCCCGTCACATCAACCTGCTGGAGATGGAGGCAGTGCACAGGATACTGCTGCACTTTGCTCCTCAGCTGCAGGGGAGACACGTGATGGTGCGCTCAGACAACACCACAGTGGTCTCCTATCTGAACAGGCAGGGGGGCACCAGGTTCCCCGCTCTCCATCGCATGGCAAAGGTGACGCTGCTGTGGGCGGCGCTTCACCTCCTGTCTCTCAGGGCGCGCCACGTCCCGGGGGTCCGGAACGTGGGGGCCGACAGGATGTCCAGGGGGGGGGGCCCACTCCAGGACGAGTGGGGCCTGGCCCCAGGGGTGGCTGCGGAGATCTGGCGGAGGTTCGGCCGTCCAGTGGTCGACCTTTTTTCGGCAGTGCAGGAAACGCACAGTGCCCGTCCTGGTTCGCCTCAAGGGCCGCGGACCAGCCGCCTTTAGACGTGGACGCTCTGGCTCATTACCCCTGGCCAGGGGGCCTGCTGTACGCGTTCCCCACCAGTGCGTCTCCTGCCGGTCCTGCTGCGGAGGATCGAACAGGAGAGAAGGTCGGTGATCCTGGTGGCGCCGGACAGTCCGCATGCCCGGTGGTTCCCCTTCCTGAGGGGCATGGCGGTGATGGAGCCCTGGGCCCTCCCGGACGAGCCGGGGGCTCTAGTCCAGGGGGGGAGGAGCCCGGTTTTCACGCCCGATAATCGGCCGCAGGCTCTGGGTTGGAGGCTGAGAGGCGGAACCTCGTAGACCTGGGTCTTCCCCCTGCGGTGGTGGAGACCACTCAGGGGGCGAGGGCGCCGTCCACTGTGAGGGCCTACGCCACGAGGTGGAGGCTCTTTAGCGACTGGTGCGGTTTTCGTTCCTGGGATCCCAGGCGTTGCCCGCTGGAGGGGGTCCTGGGATTCCTACAGGAGCTCTTTGACAAGGGGAGGGCTGTCGCCACCTTGGCGGTGTTCGCGGCAGCCATTACTTCGGGTCACAACGGATTCGGGGGTTCACAGCCCGCTCTCATCCGTTGGTTAAACGTTTTCTGCGGGGGGCACGCAGGAGGAGGCCCCCGCTCCAGAGAACGCCCCGGTTTGGGACCTCAGGGTGGTCCTTAGGGGGCTGTCGGGTCCGCCTTTTGAACCGGCGGCGGAGGCGAGTCCCGAGTGTGTCGCTTTAAGACGGCCCTCTTGTTGGCGTTGGCGTTGGCGTCTGCTAAGAGGGCGGGCGACTTGTGTGCGCTCTCTGTCCATGCGTCTTGCCTGTCCTTGGAGAGGGCGACGGCATGGTGGTATTGTGGCCCAATCCGGCTTTTCTCCCCAAGGTCATCACGTCGGCCTTTAAGTCGAGAGTCATCAGGATTAGGGCTTTCTATCCGCCACCGCATGCCTCCCCCGAGGAGGAGCGGCGGCACCTTCTGTGTCCTGTCAGAATGCTGAGGCATTACCTGGCCATGACGTCGTCATTCAGGTTGGGTGGCCAGCTGTTGTGTATCTGGGCCCCAAGAACAGGGGCGCCCCGCTGTCGGCTCAGCGGCTGGCGCACTGGGTTGCCACGGCTGTGCGGCGGGCGTATCAGACGCAGGGTCTGGCCCTCCCGGTGGGCTTCAGGTCGCATTCCACGCGTGGGATGGCGGCCTCTATGGCCCTTCTCAGGGGGGTGTCGGTCGAGGACGTATGCCGTGCGGCTTCTTGGGCTTCGTCCTCCTCTTTCGTCCGGTCTTATCTTTTGGATGTGTCGGACCGGTCGGTGGCCCATTTCGTGCTGAGTGCAGCGGACTGAGTTAGACCGTTAGGTCCCTCCTCTGAGGGGACCTTCGGTTTACTTTCCGCCCTGGTTCAGGAGCTCTTGGGAGAGGCATCCTACAGGTGCGGTACATATAAGTGTGTTTTGGTCGGTCTGGTAGTCCACGTCAGGAGCCCTTGGGAGAGGCGTCCTGTGACTACGGATGACCTATATCTGTGTTACGTGGGGGTATCCTTGGTAGGAGTGGCCCTGTAACACGCATTGTTTCTTCTGCCCTGAGTCCTCTCACTTTGTGAGGGTCTTGCTCGGGCGGAGCTCCAATCACCCTTCGCTGGCCTGCTGGGAGTACATTTTCCTACGGCCTCCGCGTTGTGTCCCACTAGCGAAGTCCTAAGGGACGTAGCACCATGACGTAGAATTAATAGTTACTAATGTAACTTAAGTTCTACGAATAGGTGCGTAGTCCCTTAGCTACAAGCCCATCAGGCCAGCCCGGCTTGGCAGAGTTCAAGAGGGGATGCGGCCTTGTGCAGGGGCATTTATAGAGGAAGGTGGCTGGTGATTGGAGCAAATTATTTTGATCTCTCTGGCGTGTGACCTGGGGGTCACGAGTGATATCCCACTAGCGAAGTCCTAAGGGACTACGCACCTATTCGTAGAACTTAAGTTACATTAGTAACTATTCCCCCCCCCCCCCCCCCCCCCCCCCCCCCCCCCCCCCCCCCCCCCCCCCCCCCCCCCCCCCCCCCCCCCCCCCCCCCCCCCCCCCCCCCCCCCCCCCCCCCCCCCCCCCCCCCCCCCCCCCCCCCCCCCCCCCCCCCCCCCCCCCCCCCCCCCCCCCCCCCCCCCCCCCCCCCCCCCCCCCCCCCCCCCCCCCCCCCCCCCCCCCCCCCCCCCCCCCCCCCCCCCCCCCCCCCCCCCCCCCCCCCCCCCCCCCCCCCCCCCCCCCCCCCCCCCCCCCCCCCCCCCCCCCCCCCCCCCCCCCCCCCCCCCCCCCCCCCCCCCCCCCCCCCCCCCCCCCCCCCCCCCCCCCCCCCCCCCCCCCCCCCCCCCCCCCCCCCCCCCCCCCCCCCCCCCCCCCCCCCCCCCCCCCCCCCCCCCCCCCCCCCCCCCCCCCCCCCCCCCCCCCCCCCCCCCCCCCCCCCCCCCCCCCCCCCCCCCCCCCCCCCCCCCCCCCCCCCCCCCCCCCCCCCCCCCCCCCCCCCCCCCCCCCCCCCCCCCCCCCCCCCCCCCCCCCCCCCCCCCCCCCCCCCCCCCCCCCCCCCCCCCCCCCCCCCCCCCCCCCCCCCCCCCCCCCCCCCCCCCCCCCCCCCCCCCCCCCCCCCCCCCCCCCCCCCCCCCCCCCCCCCCCCCCCCCCCCCCCCCCCCCCCCCCCCCCCCCCCCCCCCCCCCCCCCCCCCCCCCCCCCCCCCCCCCCCCCCCCCCCCCCCCCCCCCCCCCCCCCCCCCCCCCCCCCCCCCCCCCCCCCCCCCCCCCCCCCCCCCCCCCCCCCCCCCCCCCCCCCCCCCCCCCCCCCCCCCCCCCCCCCCCCCCCCCCCCCCCCCCCCCCCCCCCCCCCCCCCCCCCCCCCCCCCCCCCCCCCCCCCCCCCCCCCCCCCCCCCCCCCCCCCCCCCCCCCCCCCCCCCCCCCCCCCCCCCCCCCCCCCCCCCCCCCCCCCCCCCCCCCCCCCCCCCCCCCCCCCCCCCCCCCCCCCCCCCCCCCCCCCCCCCCCCCCCCCCCCCCCCCCCCCCCCCCCCCCCCCCCCCCCCCCCCCCCCCCCCCCCCCCCCCCCCCCCCCCCCCCCCCCCCCCCCCCCCCCCCCCCCCCCCCCCCCCCCCCCCCCCCCCCCCCCCCCCCCCCCCCCCCCCCCCCCCCCCCCCCCCCCCCCCCCCCCCCCCCCCCCCCCCCCCCCCCCCCCCCCCCCCCCCCCCCCCCCCCCCCCCCCCCCCCCCCCCCCCCCCCCCCCCCCCCCCCCCCCCCCCCCCCCCCCCCCCCCCCCCCCCCCCCCCCCCCCCCCCCCCCCCCCCCCCCCCCCCCCCCCCCCCCCCCCCCCCCCCCCCCCCCCCCCCCCCCCCCCCCCCCCCCCCCCCCCCCCCCCCCCCCCCCCCCCCCCCCCCCCCCCCCCCCCCCCCCCCCCCCCCCCCCCCCCCCCCCCCCCCCCCCCCCCCCCCCCCCCCCCCCCCCCCCCCCCCCCCCCCCCCCCCCCCCCCCCCCCCCCCCCCCCCCCCCCCCCCCCCCCCCCCCCCCCCCCCCCCCCCCCCCCCCCCCCCCCCCCCCCCCCCCCCCCCCCCCCCCCCCCCCCCCCCCCCCCCCCCCCCCCCCCCCCCCCCCCCCCCCCCCCCCCCCCCCCCCCCCCCCCCCCCCCCCCCCCCCCCCCCCCCCCCCCCCCCCCCCCCCCCCCCCCCCCCCCCCCCCCCCCCCCCCCCCCCCCCCCCCCCCCCCCCCCCCCCCCCCCCCCCCCCCCCCCCCCCCCCCCCCCCCCCCCCCCCCCCCCCCCCCCCCCCCCCCCCCCCCCCCCCCCCCCCCCCCCCCCCCCCCCCCCCCCCCCCCCCCCCCCCCCCCCCCCCCCCCCCCCCCCCCCCCCCCCCCCCCCCCCCCCCCCCCCCCCCCCCCCCCCCCCCCCCCCCCCCCCCCCCCCCCCCCCCCCCCCCCCCCCCCCCCCCCCCCCCCCCCCCCCCCCCCCCCCCCCCCCCCCCCCCCCCCCCCCCCCCCCCCCCCCCCCCCCCCCCCCCCCCCCCCCCCCCCCCCCCCCCCCCCCCCCCCCCCCCCCCCCCCCCCCCCCCCCCCCCCCCCCCCCCCCCCCCCCCCCCCCCCCCCCCCCCCCCCCCCCCCCCCCCCCCCCCCCCCCCCCCCCCCCCCCCCCCCCCCCCCCCCCCCCCCCCCCCCCCCCCCCCCCCCCCCCCCCCCCCCCCCCCCCCCCCCCCCCCCCCCCCCCCCCCCCCCCCCCCCCCCCCCCCCCCCCCCCCCCCCCCCCCCCCCCCCCCCCCCCCCCCCCCCCCCCCCCCCCCCCCCCCCCCCCCCCCCCCCCCCCCCCCCCCCCCCCCCCCCCCCCCCCCCCCCCCCCCCCCCCCCCCCCCCCCCCCCCCCCCCCCCCCCCCCCCCCCCCCCCCCCCCCCCCCCCCCCCCCCCCCCCCCCCCCCCCCCCCCCCCCCCCCCCCCCCCCCCCCCCCCCCCCCCCCCCCCCCCCCCCCCCCCCCCCCCCCCCCCCCCCCCCCCCCCCCCCCCCCCCCCCCCCCCCCCCCCCCCCCCCCCCCCCCCCCCCCCCCCCCCCCCCCCCCCCCCCCCCCCCCCCCCCCCCCCCCCCCCCCCCCCCCCCCCCCCCCCCCCCCCCCCCCCCCCCCCCCCCCCCCCCCCCCCCCCCCCCCCCCCCCCCCCCCCCCCCCCCCCCCCCCCCCCCCCCCCCCCCCCCCCCCCCCCCCCCCCCCCCCCCCCCCCCCCCCCCCCCCCCCCCCCCCCCCCCCCCCCCCCCCCCCCCCCCCCCCCCCCCCCCCCCCCCCCCCCCCCCCCCCCCCCCCCCCCCCCCCCCCCCCCCCCCCCCCCCCCCCCCCCCCCCCCCCCCCCCCCCCCCCCCCCCCCCCCCCCCCCCCCCCCCCCCCCCCCCCCCCCCCCCCCCCCCCCCCCCCCCCCCCCCCCCCCCCCCCCCCCCCCCCCCCCCCCCCCCCCCCCCCCCCCCCCCCCCCCCCCCCCCCCCCCCCCCCCCCCCCCCCCCCCCCCCCCCCCCCCCCCCCCCCCCCCCCCCCCCCCCCCCCCCCCCCCCCCCCCCCCCCCCCCCCCCCCCCCCCCCCCCCCCCCCCCCCCCCCCCCCCCCCCCCCCCCCCCCCCCCCCCCCCCCCCCCCCCCCCCCCCCCCCCCCCCCCCCCCCCCCCCCCCCCCCCCCCCCCCCCCCCCCCCCCCCCCCCCCCCCCCCCCCCCCCCCCCCCCCCCCCCCCCCCCCCCCCCCCCCCCCCCCCCCCCCCCCCCCCCCCCCCCCCCCCCCCCCCCCCCCCCCCCCCCCCCCCCCCCCCCCCCCCCCCCCCCCCCCCCCCCCCCCCCCCCCCCCCCCCCCCCCCCCCCCCCCCCCCCCCCCCCCCCCCCCCCCCCCCCCCCCCCCCCCCCCCCCCCCCCCCCCCCCCCCCCCCCCCCCCCCCCCCCCCCCCCCCCCCCCCCCCCCCCCCCCCCCCCCCCCCCCCCCCCCCCCCCCCCCCCCCCCCCCCCCCCCCCCCCCCCCCCCCCCCCCCCCCCCCCCCCCCCCCCCCCCCCCCCCCCCCCCCCCCCCCCCCCCCCCCCCCCCCCCCCCCCCCCCCCCCCCCCCCCCCCCCCCCCCCCCCCCCCCCCCCCCCCCCCCCCCCCCCCCCCCCCCCCCCCCCCCCCCCCCCCCCCCCCCCCCCCCCCCCCCCCCCCCCCCCCCCCCCCCCCCCCCCCCCCCCCCCCCCCCCCCCCCCCCCCCCCCCCCCCCCCCCCCCCCCCCCCCCCCCCCCCCCCCCCCCCCCCCCCCCCCCCCCCCCCCCCCCCCCCCCCCCCCCCCCCCCCCCCCCCCCCCCCCCCCCCCCCCCCCCCCCCCCCCCCCCCCCCCCCCCCCCCCCCCCCCCCCCCCCCCCCCCCCCCCCCCCCCCCCCCCCCCCCCCCCCCCCCCCCCCCCCCCCCCCCCCCCCCCCCCCCCCCCCCCCCCCCCCCCCCCCCCCCCCCCCCCCCCCCCCCCCCCCCCCCCCCCCCCCCCCCCCCCCCCCCCCCCCCCCCCCCCCCCCCCCCCCCCCCCCCCCCCCCCCCCCCCCCCCCCCCCCCCCCCCCCCCCCCCCCCCCCCCCCCCCCCCCCCCCCCCCCCCCCCCCCCCCCCCCCCCCCCCCCCCCCCCCCCCCCCCCCCCCCCCCCCCCCCCCCCCCCCCCCCCCCCCCCCCCCCCCCCCCCCCCCCCCCCCCCCCCCCCCCCCCCCCCCCCCCCCCCCCCCCCCCCCCCCCCCCCCCCCCCCCCCCCCCCCCCCCCCCCCCCCCCCCCCCCCCCCCCCCCCCCCCCCCCCCCCCCCCCCCCCCCCCCCCCCCCCCCCCCCCCCCCCCCCCCCCCCCCCCCCCCCCCCCCCCCCCCCCCCCCCCCCCCCCCCCCCCCCCCCCCCCCCCCCCCCCCCCCCCCCCCCCCCCCCCCCCCCCCCCCCCCCCCCCCCCCCCCCCCCCCCCCCCCCCCCCCCCCCCCCCCCCCCCCCCCCCCCCCCCCCCCCCCCCCCCCCCCCCCCCCCCCCCCCCCCCCCCCCCCCCCCCCCCCCCCCCCCCCCCCCCCCCCCCCCCCCCCCCCCCCCCCCCCCCCCCCCCCCCCCCCCCCCCCCCCCCCCCCCCCCCCCCCCCCCCCCCCCCCCCCCCCCCCCCCCCCCCCCCCCCCCCCCCCCCCCCCCCCCCCCCCCCCCCCCCCCCCCCCCCCCCCCCCCCCCCCCCCCCCCCCCCCCCCCCCCCCCCCCCCCCCCCCCCCCCCCCCCCCCCCCCCCCCCCCCCCCCCCCCCCCCCCCCCCCCCCCCCCCCCCCCCCCCCCCCCCCCCCCCCCCCCCCCCCCCCCCCCCCCCCCCCCCCCCCCCCCCCCCCCCCCCCCCCCCCCCCCCCCCCCCCCCCCCCCCCCCCCCCCCCCCCCCCCCCCCCCCCCCCCCCCCCCCCCCCCCCCCCCCCCCCCCCCCCCCCCCCCCCCCCCCCCCCCCCCCCCCCCCCCCCCCCCCCCCCCCCCCCCCCCCCCCCCCCCCCCCCCCCCCCCCCCCCCCCCCCCCCCCCCCCCCCCCCCCCCCCCCCCCCCCCCCCCCCCCCCCCCCCCCCCCCCCCCCCCCCCCCCCCCCCCCCCCCCCCCCCCCCCCCCCCCCCCCCCCCCCCCCCCCCCCCCCCCCCCCCCCCCCCCCCCCCCCCCCCCCCCCCCCCCCCCCCCCCCCCCCCCCCCCCCCCCCCCCCCCCCCCCCCCCCCCCCCCCCCCCCCCCCCCCCCCCCCCCCCCCCCCCCCCCCCCCCCCCCCCCCCCCCCCCCCCCCCCCCCCCCCCCCCCCCCCCCCCCCCCCCCCCCCCCCCCCCCCCCCCCCCCCCCCCCCCCCCCCCCCCCCCCCCCCCCCCCCCCCCCCCCCCCCCCCCCCCCCCCCCCCCCCCCCCCCCCCCCCCCCCCCCCCCCCCCCCCCCCCCCCCCCCCCCCCCCCCCCCCCCCCCCCCCCCCCCCCCCCCCCCCCCCCCCCCCCCCCCCCCCCCCCCCCCCCCCCCCCCCCCCCCCCCCCCCCCCCCCCCCCCCCCCCCCCCCCCCCCCCCCCCCCCCCCCCCCCCCCCCCCCCCCCCCCCCCCCCCCCCCCCCCCCCCCCCCCCCCCCCCCCCCCCCCCCCCCCCCCCCCCCCCCCCCCCCCCCCCCCCCCCCCCCCCCCCCCCCCCCCCCCCCCCCCCCCCCCCCCCCCCCCCCCCCCCCCCCCCCCCCCCCCCCCCCCCCCCCCCCCCCCCCCCCCCCCCCCCCCCCCCCCCCCCCCCCCCCCCCCCCCCCCCCCCCCCCCCCCCCCCCCCCCCCCCCCCCCCCCCCCCCCCCCCCCCCCCCCCCCCCCCCCCCCCCCCCCCCCCCCCCCCCCCCCCCCCCCCCCCCCCCCCCCCCCCCCCCCCCCCCCCCCCCCCCCCCCCCCCCCCCCCCCCCCCCCCCCCCCCCCCCCCCCCCCCCCCCCCCCCCCCCCCCCCCCCCCCCCCCCCCCCCCCCCCCCCCCCCCCCCCCCCCCCCCCCCCCCCCCCCCCCCCCCCCCCCCCCCCCCCCCCCCCCCCCCCCCCCCCCCCCCCCCCCCCCCCCCCCCCCCCCCCCCCCCCCCCCCCCCCCCCCCCCCCCCCCCCCCCCCCCCCCCCCCCCCCCCCCCCCCCCCCCCCCCCCCCCCCCCCCCCCCCCCCCCCCCCCCCCCCCCCCCCCCCCCCCCCCCCCCCCCCCCCCCCCCCCCCCCCCCCCCCCCCCCCCCCCCCCCCCCCCCCCCCCCCCCCCCCCCCCCCCCCCCCCCCCCCCCCCCCCCCCCCCCCCCCCCCCCCCCCCCCCCCCCCCCCCCCCCCCCCCCCCCCCCCCCCCCCCCCCCCCCCCCCCCCCCCCCCCCCCCCCCCCCCCCCCCCCCCCCCCCCCCCCCCCCCCCCCCCCCCCCCCCCCCCCCCCCCCCCCCCCCCCCCCCCCCCCCCCCCCCCCCCCCCCCCCCCCCCCCCCCCCCCCCCCCCCCCCCCCCCCCCCCCCCCCCCCCCCCCCCCCCCCCCCCCCCCCCCCCCCCCCCCCCCCCCCCCCCCCCCCCCCCCCCCCCCCCCCCCCCCCCCCCCCCCCCCCCCCCCCCCCCCCCCCCCCCCCCCCCCCCCCCCCCCCCCCCCCCCCCCCCCCCCCCCCCCCCCCCCCCCCCCCCCCCCCCCCCCCCCCCCCCCCCCCCCCCCCCCCCCCCCCCCCCCCCCCCCCCCCCCCCCCCCCCCCCCCCCCCCCCCCCCCCCCCCCCCCCCCCCCCCCCCCCCCCCCCCCCCCCCCCCCCCCCCCCCCCCCCCCCCCCCCCCCCCCCCCCCCCCCCCCCCCCCCCCCCCCCCCCCCCCCCCCCCCCCCCCCCCCCCCCCCCCCCCCCCCCCCCCCCCCCCCCCCCCCCCCCCCCCCCCCCCCCCCCCCCCCCCCCCCCCCCCCCCCCCCCCCCCCCCCCCCCCCCCCCCCCCCCCCCCCCCCCCCCCCCCCCCCCCCCCCCCCCCCCCCCCCCCCCCCCCCCCCCCCCCCCCCCCCCCCCCCCCCCCCCCCCCCCCCCCCCCCCCCCCCCCCCCCCCCCCCCCCCCCCCCCCCCCCCCCCCCCCCCCCCCCCCCCCCCCCCCCCCCCCCCCCCCCCCCCCCCCCCCCCCCCCCCCCCCCCCCCCCCCCCCCCCCCCCCCCCCCCCCCCCCCCCCCCCCCCCCCCCCCCCCCCCCCCCCCCCCCCCCCCCCCCCCCCCCCCCCCCCCCCCCCCCCCCCCCCCCCCCCCCCCCCCCCCCCCCCCCCCCCCCCCCCCCCCCCCCCCCCCCCCCCCCCCCCCCCCCCCCCCCCCCCCCCCCCCCCCCCCCCCCCCCCCCCCCCCCCCCCCCCCCCCCCCCCCCCCCCCCCCCCCCCCCCCCCCCCCCCCCCCCCCCCCCCCCCCCCCCCCCCCCCCCCCCCCCCCCCCCCCCCCCCCCCCCCCCCCCCCCCCCCCCCCCCCCCCCCCCCCCCCCCCCCCCCCCCCCCCCCCCCCCCCCCCCCCCCCCCCCCCCCCCCCCCCCCCCCCCCCCCCCCCCCCCCCCCCCCCCCCCCCCCCCCCCCCCCCCCCCCCCCCCCCCCCCCCCCCCCCCCCCCCCCCCCCCCCCCCCCCCCCCCCCCCCCCCCCCCCCCCCCCCCCCCCCCCCCCCCCCCCCCCCCCCCCCCCCCCCCCCCCCCCCCCCCCCCCCCCCCCCCCCCCCCCCCCCCCCCCCCCCCCCCCCCCCCCCCCCCCCCCCCCCCCCCCCCCCCCCCCCCCCCCCCCCCCCCCCCCCCCCCCCCCCCCCCCCCCCCCCCCCCCCCCCCCCCCCCCCCCCCCCCCCCCCCCCCCCCCCCCCCCCCCCCCCCCCCCCCCCCCCCCCCCCCCCCCCCCCCCCCCCCCCCCCCCCCCCCCCCCCCCCCCCCCCCCCCCCCCCCCCCCCCCCCCCCCCCCCCCCCCCCCCCCCCCCCCCCCCCCCCCCCCCCCCCCCCCCCCCCCCCCCCCCCCCCCCCCCCCCCCCCCCCCCCCCCCCCCCCCCCCCCCCCCCCCCCCCCCCCCCCCCCCCCCCCCCCCCCCCCCCCCCCCCCCCCCCCCCCCCCCCCCCCCCCCCCCCCCCCCCCCCCCCCCCCCCCCCCCCCCCCCCCCCCCCCCCCCCCCCCCCCCCCCCCCCCCCCCCCCCCCCCCCCCCCCCCCCCCCCCCCCCCCCCCCCCCCCCCCCCCCCCCCCCCCCCCCCCCCCCCCCCCCCCCCCCCCCCCCCCCCCCCCCCCCCCCCCCCCCCCCCCCCCCCCCCCCCCCCCCCCCCCCCCCCCCCCCCCCCCCCCCCCCCCCCCCCCCCCCCCCCCCCCCCCCCCCCCCCCCCCCCCCCCCCCCCCCCCCCCCCCCCCCCCCCCCCCCCCCCCCCCCCCCCCCCCCCCCCCCCCCCCCCCCCCCCCCCCCCCCCCCCCCCCCCCCCCCCCCCCCCCCCCCCCCCCCCCCCCCCCCCCCCCCCCCCCCCCCCCCCCCCCCCCCCCCCCCCCCCCCCCCCCCCCCCCCCCCCCCCCCCCCCCCCCCCCCCCCCCCCCCCCCCCCCCCCCCCCCCCCCCCCCCCCCCCCCCCCCCCCCCCCCCCCCCCCCCCCCCCCCCCCCCCCCCCCCCCCCCCCCCCCCCCCCCCCCCCCCCCCCCCCCCCCCCCCCCCCCCCCCCCCCCCCCCCCCCCCCCCCCCCCCCCCCCCCCCCCCCCCCCCCCCCCCCCCCCCCCCCCCCCCCCCCCCCCCCCCCCCCCCCCCCCCCCCCCCCCCCCCCCCCCCCCCCCCCCCCCCCCCCCCCCCCCCCCCCCCCCCCCCCCCCCCCCCCCCCCCCCCCCCCCCCCCCCCCCCCCCCCCCCCCCCCCCCCCCCCCCCCCCCCCCCCCCCCCCCCCCCCCCCCCCCCCCCCCCCCCCCCCCCCCCCCCCCCCCCCCCCCCCCCCCCCCCCCCCCCCCCCCCCCCCCCCCCCCCCCCCCCCCCCCCCCCCCCCCCCCCCCCCCCCCCCCCCCCCCCCCCCCCCCCCCCCCCCCCCCCCCCCCCCCCCCCCCCCCCCCCCCCCCCCCCCCCCCCCCCCCCCCCCCCCCCCCCCCCCCCCCCCCCCCCCCCCCCCCCCCCCCCCCCCCCCCCCCCCCCCCCCCCCCCCCCCCCCCCCCCCCCCCCCCCCCCCCCCCCCCCCCCCCCCCCCCCCCCCCCCCCCCCCCCCCCCCCCCCCCCCCCCCCCCCCCCCCCCCCCCCCCCCCCCCCCCCCCCCCCCCCCCCCCCCCCCCCCCCCCCCCCCCCCCCCCCCCCCCCCCCCCCCCCCCCCCCCCCCCCCCCCCCCCCCCCCCCCCCCCCCCCCCCCCCCCCCCCCCCCCCCCCCCCCCCCCCCCCCCCCCCCCCCCCCCCCCCCCCCCCCCCCCCCCCCCCCCCCCCCCCCCCCCCCCCCCCCCCCCCCCCCCCCCCCCCCCCCCCCCCCCCCCCCCCCCCCCCCCCCCCCCCCCCCCCCCCCCCCCCCCCCCCCCCCCCCCCCCCCCCCCCCCCCCCCCCCCCCCCCCCCCCCCCCCCCCCCCCCCCCCCCCCCCCCCCCCCCCCCCCCCCCCCCCCCCCCCCCCCCCCCCCCCCCCCCCCCCCCCCCCCCCCCCCCCCCCCCCCCCCCCCCCCCCCCCCCCCCCCCCCCCCCCCCCCCCCCCCCCCCCCCCCCCCCCCCCCCCCCCCCCCCCCCCCCCCCCCCCCCCCCCCCCCCCCCCCCCCCCCCCCCCCCCCCCCCCCCCCCCCCCCCCCCCCCCCCCCCCCCCCCCCCCCCCCCCCCCCCCCCCCCCCCCCCCCCCCCCCCCCCCCCCCCCCCCCCCCCCCCCCCCCCCCCCCCCCCCCCCCCCCCCCCCCCCCCCCCCCCCCCCCCCCCCCCCCCCCCCCCCCCCCCCCCCCCCCCCCCCCCCCCCCCCCCCCCCCCCCCCCCCCCCCCCCCCCCCCCCCCCCCCCCCCCCCCCCCCCCCCCCCCCCCCCCCCCCCCCCCCCCCCCCCCCCCCCCCCCCCCCCCCCCCCCCCCCCCCCCCCCCCCCCCCCCCCCCCCCCCCCCCCCCCCCCCCCCCCCCCCCCCCCCCCCCCCCCCCCCCCCCCCCCCCCCCCCCCCCCCCCCCCCCCCCCCCCCCCCCCCCCCCCCCCCCCCCCCCCCCCCCCCCCCCCCCCCCCCCCCCCCCCCCCCCCCCCCCCCCCCCCCCCCCCCCCCCCCCCCCCCCCCCCCCCCCCCCCCCCCCCCCCCCCCCCCCCCCCCCCCCCCCCCCCCCCCCCCCCCCCCCCCCCCCCCCCCCCCCCCCCCCCCCCCCCCCCCCCCCCCCCCCCCCCCCCCCCCCCCCCCCCCCCCCCCCCCCCCCCCCCCCCCCCCCCCCCCCCCCCCCCCCCCCCCCCCCCCCCCCCCCCCCCCCCCCCCTCCCCCCCCCCCCCCCCCCCCCCCCCCCCCCCCCCCCCCCCCCCCCCCCCCCCCCCCCCCCCCCCCCCCCTTTAACTGGCCAAGAAAGTTGGTTACCAAGCAACGAAAAATGGGTACATTTATATTCAAATGAATGGAGCAGTCAAAATTACTGTTCTGGGAAGGTAGAACTCCTACCATTTCAATATTTAAAGCTAGTTTCATACAACTAATTACTACAAAATAAAATAAACTACATTAAAACAAAAATTGTCAGCTCAGGGAGTTCTAGTGTTGAACATGACTCTTCTGTAACGTCAGTGACCAGAGGGTCAGGGAACAAGTCTTGTTGTTTTTCTTTTTCCCGTGGACACAATCTTGTCCGGTTTGAAGTTTAGAATTGTGGCAACACTTCTAAACGGGCGGCACGGTGGCTGAGTGGATAGCACTCTCGCCTCTCAGCAAGAAGGTCCTGGGTTCGAATCCCGGTTGGACTAGGGCCTTTCTGAGTGGAGTTTGCATGTTCTCCCCGTGTCTGCGTAGGTTTCCTCCGGGTGCTCCGGTTTCCCCTACCACTAAAAATATGTACAATAGGTATGGCATGTGCCTCCTGTACTGGCACCCCCACCCAACAATTGTAAACCGCTTTGAGACTCCGATGTGCAGTGAAAAGGCGGTATATAAATAAAAGCTTACTTACTTACTAGTACAACTTTACACAAATTAATGGAACCATGAGTTAAAGTATGTGGTGAATGTCTTATGACCGGCTTTCTATACCAGGCAAGTCTTTTACGTTAATACAAAACTTGCCTTTCTTTTCATAAATAATTCCTCTGAGTGAGAGAAGGATTGCATTTCCCAGATTTGAACAGCATATTACAACCATATTATTTTCAACGGAAAATTCTTAATTTCCAGTCCATTTCTCATCAGTCTTTGCTTCAGGCTCTGCTGATGTCCTTGTCACAACTTCAGTTTTATACAAACTCTCATCCAGTGGCCACAGCTGACATTAGAGACTTTGGTCTGCCTTCACCCTGTCCCTGAGACTTCAAAACATAGTGTTTAACATCCTTGTCATGTTCCAGCTCTGTGTGTGTGTGTGTGTGTGTGTGTGTGTGTGTGTGTGTGTGTGTGTGTGTGTGTGTGTGTGTGTGTGTGTTTGTGTTTGTGTTTGTGTTTGTGTGCGTGCGTGCGTGTGTGCGTGCGTGTGTGTTTTTCACTTGCTCCTAAAATGGCTTTTGCAGATAGCCCATCGCAGAATGCATCTGATTTTTAACTTTCTGTCAGAGTTAGATGAATGTGCGGCTGCAGGCTCAGGTGGCCCAGACAAAGCCTGTCAGCAAACCTTATGAGGAATAGTGTTTGTGGGCTCCAGGTAAAGGCTGGATTTACACACCACATTTACAGCTCTCTTTGTTTTATTTCTCTTGGCAAAAGTGTAACCTTCTGGGATATTCATAAATTGTGACTATTATTCTTGATGGGGAACTCTTCTGCTAAGCTCAAAACACCAGATCCCTACATCACATACAACATCATATAACCGTCAGTATAATATGAGAGAAAGTCAGAAGAAAACGTTTAGAACACTTTTGTGGCTTGTGTGATTCGTTCAGAGGACTGCCGCATAGCCCTCGGTCCTCTGCAGCTGTATTTTACAGTGTATGCACGACTTTTGACAGCTGCAGCAGCACTCAGGCCCACAACCAACACGTTCGATATCTTCGTGATCGCACTTTGTCGTGGGTTGCGGTGGTTAGAAAAATGTATGAAATATGAGTTGAGGGGTTTTACAGCCTCACAGAGCTGCTTCGTCCCAGATTTCGCTTTGTGCTGGCTATATTTTATAACATTGTAAAGGCTTTGCGTGACCTTGGTCTATGAAATGTGTAGTTTAAATAGAGATTAAAATGAATTTACCATTTGGAATGCAATAGACTGGATAAAATATTAGATACAATTAAAAATCATTTATTTTTATTTTCATATATCTAGTATACATATTATTACGTATTTGGATAACAATTAAGAAAAAAGAGATTTCCTGAAATTATTAGTTTTAAAATGATGGATAACGCTCTACCATCAATACTGCAAGTTCACAAAAATAATTGAGTTTGAGTTTAACATTAAAATTGAGATATCATTACATTTGTCCTAAAATCACACCTCACAGCATGTGTTGCATGACCGTTAATCATTACTAAAATAGTTGAATAAAAGTTAACTCAGTTGCAATTCTTTGATTAATTGGTACAGCCCATCATACAAACACAAACACTTAGGTCCAGGGCAGAAACTAATGTAAATATCAAATTATGCAGATTTGATTCAACTGTATAGAAACCACATTTACAAACAGAATCTTTGCTCCCATTCTATTGAACAATGTCTCCAAAAGTCACAGTCGAATCTCTTCACTTCATGCTTATTAATTATGAGCAATATATCCACTGGCACAAGGAAGAAAATGCAATTTGCTGCATCACAGGAGAATAAATTAATCCTTGGCTGGAGCTTGAGCTGTGTTTGTACATTCAATGTGTGTCTTTCATTTTACAGGGAGAAAACAGGGAGGGAGGAGGACCTGAGATTCAATTTACCCAAGCCATGGAAAGCCAACACAGATGTCAGAAGTGAAAAATACTTTCCCTCGACAAGTGAGAGAAGTTTGCCTGTGCCTGATGGCTGAGGCAGGTGGTCCACACACGGGTTTTTGTAGGTGTAAAAAATATTAAATTGAAGGATCAGAAAAGGAGTCTGGGTCCAAGTTGTCTCGATAAAGTGTGTGTGATAAAGTATGTGTTACTGAAGAGGAGAACAACAGTGTCACTGATTGAATACAAAAAGTAATAACAACTAGTCCCTTTAAAGCACAGGTGTCAAAGTCAAGGCCCGGGAGCTAGATCCGGCCCGCAAGACCATTTCTTGTGACCCTTGAGATGATTTTAAATGATTATATTAAAAAAGCATAAATGGCAGCATAAATGGTAATAGGCGACAAGGGCTTGTTATCCATTACTATGAAAACAACCATGACATTTAATTTCATAAGAAAAAAAGGATTTCCCAATGTTCTTAGGAAAGAATCGCCCTATCCACTTTTTGAACTAAACTCTCTGGTCTTATTAGACGAGCACAAATCACCAGAATGATTGACAGTTGGGAGGACCAATCGTCTTGATGATCCACCCGGAAGCAGAATATCTTATATACCTTCAATATTTGGTCCAGTTTTGGTTCAGTCCACAGTAACTGAACTAATTCTAATCAGAAAAGAATATCCAATCCATGTGAAACAAGTCATTTATTTAGATACCTTCATATTCCAAAAAAATGTTAATAAATGAAACCCACTTATTTTTTTGGCCCTTGACCAGCCCTTTATTTTTTTATTTGGCCCTCAACCAAAATAGGTTTGACACCCCTGCTTTAAAGAATGGAACCATGAGTTAAAGTATGTGGTGAACGTCTTATGACCGGCTTCTATACCAGGCCTGTCTGTTACGTTAATACAAGTCCAGTAACTTGCCTTTCTAAATTTCTTTTTAAATATAATTCCTCTGAGTGAGAGAAGGATTGCATTTCCCAGATTTGAACAGCAGAGTACAACCATATTATTTTCAACAGCAAAGACTTAATTTCCAGTCCATTTCTCATCAGTCTTTGCTTCAGGCTCTGCTGCTGTCCTTGTCATGTTATGGCAAGCTGGTATTCCACAACAGTCACAACTTCAGATTCATACAAACTCTCATCCAGTGGCCACAGCTGACATTTTAGGGACTATGGTCTGCCTAACAAATACAAAAGTAATAATAATAACTAGTCCCTCTATAGTAAGTAAGTAGTAATCTTTATTTATATACCGCCTTTTCACTGCACATCGGAGTCTCAAAGCGGTTTACAATTGTTATTTTTGGGAATGGGGGTGCCAGTACAGGAGGCACATGCCAGACCTATTGCACATATTTTTTAGTGGTAGGGGAAACCGGAGCACCCGGAGGAAACCTACGCAGACACGGGGAGAACATGCAAACTCCACTCAGAAAGGCCCTGGTCCAACCGGGATTCGAACCCAGGACCTTCTTGCTGAGAGGCGAGAGTGCTATCCACTCAGCCACCGTGCCGCCGTGCCGCTATAGAAAAAAGTCTGTCCAAATTTAGATCAATTCAGTTCAATTTATTTTTGCAGATCCTAAATCCCAACAGTCATTGGCCCAGTCCCACCCTCGCGCCCTTTGTTTGAGCATTCCCGATGATGGGTGCGAGTAAGTACGTGTCCCAATTCTCCAGGGAGGTCTTTGGCCCCGCCCCCTTTGCGCCACTGATCCACACTTTGCCGTAGTCTGCATCTAAGCGGACTCTGGTGAAGGATATTGCCCATAATTCTTTGCGGTACACGCCAAAACGCCGGGAAAATGCATTCATATGTACGTTTTGAAATATATATGCTGCATGTGTGTAAATAAATTTTGCTATGTTACTTGGATAGAAGCATAAATGACTAATTGAAGAATTACAGACATTCTGTGCTGACAATTTCATAACTTTTCTAATGCAAGCTTTCATATTACATTCAATTTAAACTTTACACTTAGTACAATGAACTTAGGATGTATAATAACTTAATAGATTACAGTTAGTTACCCACATTTAACTTAAAATTATACAGCTATCTCAAATTACGAATAACCAATATACATGTATTTTAACGTGGGTAGAGCATCTCAATTTGTTTCCCACACAGTCGGACGAAAAGAAAGTTTAGGTCTGAAAATGGCCATCTCTTGACTAGTAGATGACATAACCTGCACTGTCCCAATTCCGCCTTTTTTGCACGCTTGTAACCTGCGCACTCAAACCCTTGCATGCACTTCAAACAAATGCACACTTTGTAGAGGAGTGTAGGGTGCAGTGTGGGTATTGGGATTGGGCCACAGTAGTAGTTTGCCAACACAGAAATGCAATAATAACAAACACATGTAAATCTCTTCATCTTACAGCTAGCTAAGCTCATTGTCACGGTGTGGATTTTATTTTTGTACTTTGGTTTTATTTTGACATTGTTTCTCTGTGGTTTTGATTTTGACTTCCTGTGCTGTTTCCCCTGTCTTGATTGTCTGCCCTGCCCTGATGTGTTTCACCTGTGTCTCTGTGTGTCTATATGTACCCTGTGCGCCTCTCCCCATGTTGCTGGTCCATTGTGTTGTTCATGTCTTTGTCTGTTCTGTTCTGCCCTGTTCCTGGTTGCTTGTGTTTTTGGATTTTTGAGTTTTAACCTGGACTTTTATTTTGTTGTCATTAAATAATTATTTTTTGGCATTCCTGCATTTTGAGTTCTCCATCACCTCTCCACATGACACTCATCTTACTACTGCCCTGTAGGTGCGCTGCAACATCAACATTTCCCCATTACTTTAAAGAGTCGATGACTAGATAAGACAATAATACTGATACGCTGATGATCCTGTTGATCCTGTTGATCAACTTTAACTAGTCACAACATCTTCTCTTGGCAGGGCTTACAAGCTGCCAAGAGAAGCTAGGCATGTTGTGCCACCTCGGCAAATCAACCAATCAGAGCGCGCGTACGGTCGAGGTCATATAATAAAACATCTTCATGATAAATTGTCCACAATACAGACAAACACGATTAGGTTCTAAGTTAACACACACTCGGAGAGCACATACCCTGCCAACACCATGGATCATATTGAAATGTTACGTTTTACTCAAGTTTTACTCCCGATATCAAATCAATCCATCCTGATTATAGATAAGATAAGAATTCCTTTATTCGTCCCACAGTGGGGAAATTTTGATGTTGCATCGCACATATAGGACAGTACTAATAGCACACAGGGAGCACACAATATATACAAATAAGTAGTAGCTATGTTTCTTAGCTAACATAACTAGCTGTAGATGCTGAAAATGCTTCAATACCAGTCAAAATATATATATATAGTAGTAGTGCAGTTCTACTTCATAGTGCTACGCCCCTTAGGCTCGCTTTGGGTATGACTCCAGAAGCACCAGCTTCCCGCCAGAGAGAACTCAATGCTCCAATCACTGTGCAGAACCTCCTATAAATAGCCCACAGCAGTCCATGCTCTTCACTTTGAACTCTGGCGCCATTGAGAGAAGTTCTACTCACCATTGAAGATCGCGATGTCTACTCCTCCTCGTCCGAGAACTCCTTCGCCATCCGGCGTCGGACGAAGACGGTGCGGTGGCTGCCGGACCAAGCTCCACCGCAAAGACCGGCACGAGTTCTGCTTCCTCTGCCTGGGAGTTCACCACCACCGGGAAGCGGCGACGTGTGCGCGTGCCTTTCTCTCCCCGGGGAGGAGAGAGAGCGCCGCGCTGCTTATGCCACCTCCGCGGAGGCTCGCCCGGGTCCCTCCCAGGAGGAGGAACCTGAGGTTGAGTATGTCCCGCTCGACCTGCCTCCTGCACCCAGGGAGTGGGGAGACTGTGTTGTGGAGGAAGAGTTTGACGAGGACCGGGGTTCCTACGTCACTCTCGACGAGGCTATTTCCTTGTGCGAGGAACAAGACCGCTTCCCTCTGGACCACATGCCCCGCCTCTTCGCCATGGCAGCGGCCACCATGGAGACCCCTCTGCCTCCGCAACCCACCCAGAGAGAGAGCGACTTCACGTCGGTGGGTTCATCGCTTCCAGGGAGGAAGAGACGAGCTCCAACACTGTGTCCGCGGATGGATCCGGTTTTCCATTACGCGGCACGTGATTGGGCCAAACCCCTAGCAGCTAAGAAGCCTGCTCTGGGGTACGGCGCCTATTGCTCGGTCCAAGACTGGTCCTGGTCCAAAGGGGTCCCGGAAGTGGAGGACGCTGTCCGGCTCGCACTACTCCCGCAGTCCTCGGTGTGGCCCGGCAGCAGACCTCTCCTTCCCTCGGAGCGGGATAGGATGAGCATGGCTGTTCTGGATAGATGCTACGCTAACGCAGCACAGGTCGTTGCGTTAGCTAGCAATATGGCTCTTCTCACCGGGGCCCTCGATAGGTCTCTATCCACGGGTCAATCTCTCACCGACGAGGACCTGGACCGGGCCAGAACCACCACGGTGGCCATACTCCGTATGATCCAGGCGCTGGCTATTGACGGTGGGCGATCCATGGCGTCCGCACAGGTCGGTGCTCGCCATCTGTGGCTGGGGCTCGCGGACATCAAGGAGACGGAGAAGAGGCAGCTCCTGGACCTCCCTATCTCCATGGATTCCCTCTTTGGTCCAGACATGAAGGGGCTCGTCGCGAGACTGGACGCTGCTGCCAAAGACTCCGCCATGCTGGCTCCTCATCTGCTCCCTCGCCGTGTGTCACAGCAGCAGCAGCAACAGCAGCAGCAGCAACAACAGCAGCAGCCTTATCGCGGCAGAGAGAGAGAGTGAGAGACCGGTCACCTCGGCGACGCTCAGCTCCGCCCCCTCCTGCTCCTTGCCCGGGCCGCTACACTCCGCAGAGACCACGGGGTTCAGAGCCTTACTCCGGTGGTTTCCGTGACCAACGCTCCCACCGCCGCCCTCCCTACAGTCGGGGAGTTCGGGGGGGGAAAAAGTTTTTCAATAAACGACAAGGTGTACCGTATTCTCGGTCTGAGCGTCATCTTTTTGCCATGCATGGTTTGTCTCTCAGGTAGAGGGCAGCATTGCATCACACACAGGTCTATCACCTTTGGTTACGTTGAGTCCACAGCGGCCGCATCCCTCCATACCACTTCCCACAGCGGCCAGTGTAGTGTCTGCTGGGTCAGGACCAGGTTTTGCGAGCCTCTCTCCCTTTTCTCAGCGTCTCCGGGGTAAATCCAGCACTTCATTCCCCAGGGGTGGTAATGAAAGTCTAGGTCAGGTTTTTCCCTCCGTCTCCGGGGTTCCCTCTGTTAGTGGTGTTACGCATACAGAGCAGGACGCTCCCACACACGTCTGCCCTTCAGCTCAGGCTGCTGTCATTTCATCCTCTGGGCGGGGAGTGAAACGCAGATTACCGCTGTCTATAAGTGAGTCAGGGGGCCTGGTCCCAACCTCCTCACACAGCACATCTCATGAGGTGTTTCGGCCCTTTCGAGGCCCCCCCCTCTCCGCTGGGAGCGCAGGGAGAGTGGGGGGCTATTACACCAGGTGCTCCGGGTCCTCTCCTTCCCCTCACAGAGCAGTTTCGGGTCTGGGAAGAGCTCGGTCTACTGTCAGACCCCTGGTTAAAGAAAACGATGCGATGCGCAGGGGGCTACGCTCTGCAGTTCGCACGGAGACCACCGCCGTTCCAGGGCATTCGTGCGGTGCGCCCTACAGATCGGGAGACAGAAGAGGCGCTCCAATGGAGGTCGCCTCCCTGTTACGCAGAGGCGTCCCGAGGTCCTGGTGGACCCTCGGGACGCCTCCAGAGGCCTGTACTCCCCGTATTTCCTGGTCCCCAAGAAATCAGGGGGGGTGCGCCCTATATTGGATCTGCGCACTCTGAACCAGTGCATTTCCAAACGGCCCTTTCGGATGCTTTCCACAAAACATCTGTTAGAGTGCGTCAGGCCCGGGGACTGGATGTCAACCATAGACCTGACGGACGCTTACTTCCACGTTGCCATAGTACCGGAGCACAGACGCTTCCTGCGCTTCACCGTGGGAGGGAAGTGTTACGAGTACTGTCGCCTCCCCTTCGGTTACGCTCTGGCCCCACGCACCTTCTCCAAGTGCGTGGAGGCGGCGCTGGAACCACTCAGACGCGCAGGGATCAGAATCCTGACATATATAGACGACTGGCTGATTCTGGCCCCGTCTCTGGAGCAGGCCACCATTCACACGCACTGGGTCCTGTCACACGTGCAGCGCCTAGGCTTTGTGGTGAACAGGGAAAAGAGCAATCTGCAACCCGCACAGCGCTTAGTCTATCTAGGTCTACAGCTAGACTCGGTGGAGTTTCGGGCAGCGCTCTCCCAGGACAGACGCTCGAGCATCACGCGTCTAGCTCAGGAAGCGCTGACCTCTCCCACAGTGACCGCCCGACGAATACGGTCTCTATTGGGGATGATGGCATCAGCTCATGCAGTGGTGCGGCTAGGTCTCCTTCACTTGAGACGTTTCCAGAGGTGGTTCTCCCGTCTCCGACTACATCCCACAAGAGACGGGGGCAGAAGGCTCATTGTTCCTCCAGGAGTGGCCGAGGACCTGAGCTACTGGCTCACGCCCGGTCTGATGCTGGAAGGAGTTCCCCTGGTAGGTGCCGTGGCACACGTGGAGGTGTTCACGGACGCGTCTCTGGAGGGATGGGGGGGGGGTTCTGCACCAGAGCTCTGTGGGGGGCGCCTGGTCAGGCCCTCTTCGTCACATCAATCTGCTGGAGATGGAGGCGGTTCACAGGGTGCTTCTGCATTTCGCTCCACAACTAGCGGGGAGACACGTGATGGTGCGCTCAGACAACACCACAGTGGTGGCGTATCTGAACCGGCAGGGGGGCACGAGGTCCCCAGCCCTCCACCGACTGGCAGCGACCATTCTGATCTGGGCTGCAGGGCATCTGCAGTCTCTGAGAGCGCGTCATGTTCCGGGAGACAGGAACACAGGGGCGGACATAATGTCACGGGGAGGCCCTCTCGAGGACGAGTGGGGCCTCGACCCGCAGATGGCAGCGGAGGTCTGGCAGAGGTTTGGTCGGCCTGTGGTCGACCTGTTCGCCAGTGCAGACAACGCGCAATGCCCGCTCTGGTTCGCACTGAGACCCACAGACAATCCGCCTCTAGGGGTGGATGCCTTGGCTCATTATCCGTGGCCAGGGGGCCTGTTGTACGCCTCCCCCCCCCCCTCGTCTCCTACCGATCCTACTGAGGAGGATCGAGCAGGAAGAGCGGGAGGTAATCCTGGTCGCCCCAGACCGACCACAGGCCCGTTGGTTCCCGTTCCTGACCAACATGTCTGTGATGGACCCGTGGCCTCTCCCGGACGTGTCAGGGGGCCTGGTCCAGGGAGGGGGGACGCTTCGCTCCCGCCCAGTCCTGGGCCACAGGCTCTGGGTTTGGAAGCTGAGAGGCAGAACCTAGTCCGACTAGGCCTCCCCCGGGCGGTGGTGGATACCATCCAAGGGGCGAGGGCACCTTCCACCGTGAGGGCTTACGGGTGCCGGTGGAAGCTTTTCAAAGACTGGTGCGCGGCCCACTCGTGGGACCCCAGGTCTTGCCCTCTAGAGGGCGTCCTGGGATTCCTGCAGGACCTTTTGGATAAGGGCAGGGCCGCTAGTACCTTGGCTGTGTCCGCTTCGGCCATTGCCTCTGGTCACGAAGGGTTCGGGGGGTTTTCAGCCCGCTCCCACTCGTTAATCAAACGCTTCCTTCGGGGGGCCTACAAGAAGAGGCCGGTCCTTAGACGAACACCTCCGATCTGGGACCTCAAGGTGGTTTTGAAAGGGCTGTCAGGGCCTCCTTTCGAACCCCTGACCCGTGCCAGCCCAGAATGCGTGGCCTTCAAGACCGCACTCTTATTGGCTCTGGTATCAACCAAGAGGGCGGGAGAACTGTGCGCTCTTTCCATCAGCCCGGCCTGCCTGTCCTTTGGTCCGGGGGATGGGTTGGTGGAGTTGTGGCCCAACCCGGCCTTTCTCCCCAAGGTCGTTTCCTCAACCTTCAGGTCCAGGGTCATACGGATCAGACCTTTTCACCCTCCGCCTCACGCCTCGCAGGAGGATGAGCAAAGACACCTGTTGTGCCCTATCAGGATGCTGAGGCATTACCTGGAGGTCACGTCCTCTTTCAGGCGCACGGATCAGCTGTTCGTGTGCTTGGGGCCTAAAAACAGAGGCGCCCCGTTATCCTCCCAGCGGCTGGCCCACTGGGTGTCCCGGGCGATTCGCTCGGCGTATCAGGCCCAGGGGATGGTGCCCCCGGTGGGGTTCCGAGCGCACTCCACTCGGGGCGTGGCGGCCTCCACAGCTCTGCTACGAGGGGCCTCGGTGGAGGAGGTATGCCAGGCTGCGTCCTGGGCTTCGTCTTCCACCTTTGCTCTGTCTTACCTGGTGGATGTTTCAGAGCGGTCTGTTGCTCACTCCATCCTGAGCTCTGGGACTGATGCGACCGTGTCTGGCTCTCTCTGAGGCTTCTGCGGTCTATGTTGTCTGGAGCGGCCGGCCCCTCCTGGAGCTCTTGATAGAGGCGTCCTGGGCTCAGCCTTCTCCTTCTTCCTTCGCGGCTTTGTGCAGTCCTCAGGTGCTCTTGGTAGAGGCGGCCTGGGACTGTTCCTTGTTCCCCTACGGGGGCGCGCGCGGTGTTCCTCAGGAGCTCTTGATAGAGGCGTCCTGGGAAGTGACCTTCGCCCTTGGGCGTTTGGTCAGAGACTTGGCTGTTCCTGGAACGGCCTCCCTCTTGGATTCTGTTAGTGCTTCGGGCGTCCTTGATAGGAGCGGCCCTACCACTGCTTCACCTTTGAGCTTATCCTTGGGCGTCCTTGATAGGAGCGGCCCCATCACTGCTCATTCCCTGTCTGTCTTGAGTTCCCACACCTTGGAGGTGTTAGGGCCTACTCGGCAGGGCTCCAATCACTGCTAGCTGGCCTGATGGGAGTACATACTCTTAGGCTACGCTTCGTTACCCAAAGCGAGCCTAAGGGGCGTAGCACTATGAAGTAGAATTGTTAGTTACCTATTGTAACTGTAGTTCTACGAATAGTGCGTAGCCCCTTAGCTACGGGCCCATCAGTCCAACCTGGCGTTGGCGAGTTCAAAGTGAAGAGCATGGACTGCTGTGGGCCATTTATAGGAGGTTCTGCACAGTGATTGGAGCATTGAGTTCTCTCTGGCGGGAAGCTGGTGCTTCTGGAGTCATACCCAAAGCGAGCCTAAGGGGCTACGCACTATTCGTAGAACTACAGTTACAATAGGTAACTAACAATTATATACTGTATAGTTAAATAGTGCAGGATAATAAGATAAGTAAAGTGACATTGTTCTGTGACATTCTGAAGTTGCAGTATTGCACATGATTTAAGAATTTACTTAATTACAGATTAATGAAATGTACAGGCTCAGCAGTTCTTGTTGTACAGCAGCAGGAAGGAAAGACCTACGGAACCTCTCCTTCACACAGCGAGGGTGAATTAGTCTGTCACTGAAGCTGCTCTCCAGAGCAGAGAGAGTGTCCTGCAGGGGGTGACAGTCATGGTCCAGCATAGACCATGTTAGTTTGCTCAGGACCCTCCTGTCCCCCACCTGCTGCACTGTGTCCAGGGAACAGCCCAGGACTGAGCTGGACTTCCTGATGACCTTGTCCAGCTAAGGAGTGGCCCCTGCACTCCAAAAGACCTAAGCCTCCTCAGCAGGTAGAGGCGGCTCTGGCCCTTCTTGAAGAGGGCGTCTGTGTTATGAGTCCAGTCCAGTTTGTGGTTCAGATGAACACCCAGGTACTTGTAAGAGTCCACTCTCTCAATGTCCTTTCCCTGGATGTTCACTGGGGCTGGAGCGGCAGAGTGACGTCTGCGGAAATCCACCACCATCTCCTTGGTCTTCCCCGCGTTGATGAGGAGGTGGTTCCGCTGACACCAGTCCACAAAGTTCTGTATAACTCCTCTGTACTCTGTGTCATCGTCCTCGGAGCTGAGTCCGATGATGGCAGAGTAGACACACGCACACACACGCAAACTCATAGTTGCACAAATACAACACCCCCAGGCAGGGAAAAATATATATAAATATTAGTCCCTACTTCTCCAAACTGTTTTTCTCCAAATTGTATTTTCCTATATTGTATTTGAAACTTATGGGCTCAGGACAGGGCTGTTTTCACTGACCGCTCTGTATTTCTGTATTTCCTGAAAACTGACACTCTGACACTCTTGAGAAGGC